ACTACCCACCCTATGTTTCACCTAATATATATATTTTAAGTGATTTTACATTGACACTGTCTTTCGAGCCTCACCCTAAGCAATAATATTGTATGTTAATAATTTACTCAGCAAGACAAGAAGAAATTTATTATTTAATAAAGTTTGAAGGTCTGAGTATAAAAACAAATTCTTTTGGCACACATTAAAATAATCATTGAAGTAAAATGATTCTCCATCTATCACCTAAAATTAACTCATATACCCCCAGGAGTTTACATACCCTATTAAGACAGTACTAGACATTTTGTAGCTGAATTAGAAGACATCTTCCCAGCTCCAGATTCAGTGTTCCCAGTTTGTTCCTGCTCTCATCTTGTTGCTGCTGCTGCTAAGTCACTTGAGTCGTGTCCGACTCTATGCAACCCCATAGTCGGCAGCCCACCAGGCTCCCCGTCCCTGGGATTCTCCAGGAAAGAACACTGGAGTGGGTTGCCATTTCCTTCTCCAATGCATGAAAGTGAAAAGTGAAAGTGAAGTCGCTCAGTCGTGTCGGACTCTTAGCGACCCCATGGACCGCAGCCTACCAGGTTCCTCCATCCATGGGATTTTCCAAGCAAGAATACCGGAGTGGGGTGCCATTGCCTTCTCCATCTCATCTTGTTGGGTGGATGCATTTGTTCTCAACATATCGATGGTTGTGGGAGGCAGAAAACTTTGGTTCTGGCCTGCACCATCCTTAAATAACTTGCTGAGTCAAATCTCATCTTGTGGTCATTTTTGAAGGCTGGTTTATCTCAAAACTCCCTTCCAAGTCTCACAATATAACATAATAAATGAGAGCAGAGGCTCTGGAATCAAAATGACTGGGGGTTGCAAGTAATGGCTTCATTACTTGCTAATTTCATTAAGTCTGTTTTCCTCATCTGGAAAATGGGAGTAATAACAACAACAAATGGCCATAAGATTCAGATCACAGGACTTGTAAAAATAAAGAAAATGATAGCTAAAAAAGTCTCAGACTTAAATGTGGTGCATAGTGTTCAATAAAAAAAATAACTATTACTATTTCTCCTAGCTTCATCAAAGCACAAATAATAGTTAACATTTATGGATTATTTAGTATGTAGCAGGCACCACATGAAACAATTTTATTTTATCCTCTATTCACACAATGAGGTGGGAACTCTTATTCTCCCTATTTTAGAGATGAGGAAATCAAAGCACAAAAAAGGTTAAGCGACTTTCCTTTATATTTTTACTACGCAAGCATGCATCCTCTTGCATTGGCAGATGGATTCTTTACCATTAGCACCACCTGGGAAGCCCTGGCACGCGTTCTTAAATATCATCTAATCTTGCCTGGTAAGAGGAGCTCTTTATAATTTAATCTATTAAAAAACCCCTAATCATGGCCCCCCAAAACAGCCTTTATAGGTAAAGTAACCATACAAGTTATCATTCAAACTGGAGGCACAGACATTAACCAGGATTGACCCGGGTTAAGCCAGCATGATCACCTGACTTCCAGGATCCTTTGCTGGGAGTGAGCATTATTCTCACAGCCAAACAGAAATGGGGTTCCCTTCTCACTGGATACTTGTACACAAAGTGACAGAGGACAATTAAAAGCAGCACATCCCCAGGGGTGAGGCAACACTGACTCAGATAAACACCTCCAGGCTGAAGAGCTGCCGAGCAGAGCATTTATTCACCTCCAGCCTTAAGGAGATGTACTCTTCAAAGAATTTCCTGGAAGATGCTACTGAAATATCCATGGTTGCCACATTCACACAACACACTGACTAAAAGAACTGCCTCCCAAGATTTGCACATAGTGCAAAAAAGAGATTTGGGGTCTGCAACGGGTTTTAAATCAGTTTATCTGCCTTTTTTTCCCCCTCAGTGTCACCGGAAAGTATAGAAACCACCATCACTTTGACCTGCTCTACATTTTGATCTGCAAATCTTGCTACTGACCAAGGTAAAAGTGACAGCTAAAGCTTTCCTCACACACATGAAAAATCATAGCGAAAACCTATCTGCCAGAATATAAATCAGCTTGTCCTCCATTATCTTGGGCATCAAAGAGAACAGAAATCAGTCTGTGTTGAGTTAGGCACTTGTGCATTGTGGTGAACATCATTCATCTGGAGGTCCAGGCCTCCAACATCCACGGTTCACATGGCATGGGTGGGACTCCCACTAGGGCGACAAGTTTCCTTCAGCCAAGCCAACTGGGCCAGTCAGAACTGGCGCTGAGACGTTTTGTTCAGCAACTGGAGAAGAAGGGTGTATGCTTTTTCTGTTGGTCTTGAATCTGGAATTGTGTAAACCGGCAACTGCTACATCACTGTCACCCAACAAGGAACAAAAGGGAAGGAAGAAAAAGGTAGAACAAAAGATGAAAAAAATTAATCAGATCCTGAAGTCACTGTTCAACCCTGAGGAAGATGCTCTTGAAATCAGTCTTACCTATGTACCTTTTAGAAAATTGAATCTGTATACATGGGACATATATATATATGTCTATATTCTATTTAAATTGGGTGTTTGTCAACTTATGAAACAAACACATCCTGTGGCAGTGACTTGCAAACTTTTTCATAGCAAATCGTAGTGTGAATTACACTTTATCCAGCAATCCAGAGTGTGCACACATTCTCAGATTCAGGACGGACTCAAAGGTTCATGAAACTACAGAACCTTTATTGACATTAAGATGATGCTGATATTTTCTGTCCTTGTAATACTTAAAAGGAAAATACTGATGTGACCCACTAAACTGATTTCCTGAACTTCGTTTTGAAAAACACTGCTTTATGAGATTAGGTTAAAAATGGATTTCACCGGAAAGAAGGAGATTTTTTAAAAACTGACACAGGCTATCGAGGAAAATAGGTTTGGCTCCTAAACCAAACATCTAGCAACAGAAAATTGCTACTTTACAGTTTCTCTCTGACCACACAGGACATGCACTTAACAGAGAAGAAAATGATTGAGATATAAAGGAATTACCAAAAAAAAGTTAAGTGGCTTTTAAAGCAAAACAAAAACCACGTCTACAAAGAGAGAGAAGAGAGATATCTAAGGAAATGAATGCCCAAGTGCTGCTGATGAGCTGAGTTACATGATTTATTTATCTATAAGCTGAAGATAATAATTTCAGTGAACCTCAGCAGTCGCTGAGTATTTTAAAATAGTGCCTTCATGATAACATCAGATCTCTAGGGAAGATTTAGGGGGAGGGATAGAGAGAGGGAGGGAGAAAGAGAGAAATTCCTCCAGTGTAATAAGACTGGTGCCTTCATTTACGTGTGTAATGTGTGTAAAATAACAATGAAGAGCTCCTGAAGTTTCAGACAATTACTGCAGGCTGGACAAGACAGGGGATTTTTTGTTTTTGTTTTTTTTTTGGACAGGATATTTTTAACTGTTTTCCATGTACCTTATTTGTATTGTCAGTTAGCCAAAATTTCCTTTTTGTCTGCTCAAAAGCACGGCAGAGTCTTGATTCAATCTCTGGACTCAAATGGAGAGCTCGGATTCTCAGGCTTGCTAGAAATAGAGGCCAGTCAAGTAAACAGTCCTGAGAAAACTGCATTTCCACTCTGGAGAGGCTGGTGAACTTAACTCCGCCCATACTTTTCTAGCTTGTCAGGCTCATGCACAGTTGTCTGCCTGTTTGAGAAGCCATTAACTTTCCCGCCACTAACATGCAAATTCAAAACCATTATTCATTTCCAAACCAAGTGAAGTTTAAGACAATCACTTGCATGCTCAGAAGACACTTCTGAGAACTTTTCCCCAGGGATCATGAAAAACAGACCTCACTATAATAGTAGTTTAGGTGGATTTTCATCATCATAGTGTTCAAGTGCATTACACCTGCATTACTGAATTTATGCAAATGAAGTGTAATTAATATCTGCGGATGTCATGCGGAAATGATAAACCTCTTATGTTCAAGAAGTTCTTGGAACTGCACAAATTCTTCTGGCCATCTTTTAGAAAACAATAATAAGCACTGTTCAAAAGGTAAGGGTGAATGTGTGTGTGTGCGTGCGTGTGTGTGTGTGTGTGTCCGTGTGTATACACATGAGTGCACGCACATTTACTCTTTATTTCAAATTTTTCAGATACACAAAAGAAGTAAGACTCATAGTCATCAATATACCCATCACCTAGTTTATGACATTTAATTTAGCGACCAAATTATACCCTGAGTGTTTGCCTTGGTTCAGTCATTTTTTTAAACGTCATTTGATTTAATCTTATGAATCCATTGTTATTGTGTTATTATTATTTTTGCTTCATCATTATCAATGCCACCACAACACAGTCTTTTTAGAGGTACTGTTATGGTTAAGAGCCTGGCATTTGGAAACAGACCTCATGTAAATAAAAGATTATCAGTGTAACTTATGGCAGGTTACTTAACCTCCGTCAAGGGCTCAGCTGACCACTCCGTGGACTGTTTATGATGGCCCCAAACTGCCTCTTGGGATGCCTGTCTCCTAGTAAATTCTCTTAAACACTATTCCTAAAGGGTATGTGTGTGTTTGTGCTCAGTCACTAAGACCTGTCCGACTCTTTGTGACCCCATGGATTGTAGCTGGACAGGTTCCTCTGTCCATGGAATTCTCCAGGCAAGAATACTGGAGTGGGTTGCCATTTCCTCTTCCAGGGGATTTTCCCGACCCAGGGACTGAGCCGGGGTCTCCTGCATTGGCAGGCGAGTGTGTATGGGGGATTAAAGAGCAGTCTGCTGAGGTTAAGTAAGGTGAAGCTGCTTCTCCTCCCCTGCAGAGGTTTAATAGGGAAGCTCCACAGACCTATTCTCTTTACGACAGGAAACAGCATGCCAGGGACTGCGCTAAAATCCTGTACCCAGCCTCCAAATGAGTTGACAAGTTTATGGGCAAACACTAGCTAACCTTGAAGGATCAACAACCTTTCCCGAAAGACTGAGGCTGTCAGCACTCCAGGGTCGTTCTGCCCCCCATCCCCCCACCCCCCAGGGGCCACCTTCCAGATGCAGCCGTCTGGGTACCAGCAAGCAGACCAAGTCGGTTCGCAAAGTTCAGAGGAGTTGGCTCTGGTATGTTTACAAGTCCTAGCAGATCGCAGGAATGTTCACGATAATTATTACCCCACCCAGGAGCGCCCAGCCCAACCCTCTCACATCTGGAAGGAAGCGGCCACACAAAGGAGAACAAGGGAGATCTCCTCCTGCGGCAGCTTTCTCAGATCCGGGGGAGGTTTAATATAAGCTCTCACCCCTTTTGTGAACAAGACCAGGCACTGCTCGGCAATATCGTTCGGAGCACAGATCATTCAACGCAAAGGAAGAGTTCATCCCCTAGCTCAGATCGAATGGAATTTCCCAAAATATCATCTTTGTTTTCCCCTCCCTAGGCAAAAGTAAAAAGTGAAATATTCCAGAAAATAGAGAGGGAGCGAACAACACGCATACAGCCACTTCAACACAGCAGCGGCTAGGGGCAGACACACCTATTTGAAAAGGGCAGCCAAACCAAACCCTAAGCATCCTCTGCAAACGCAAAGGATTTCCCCCTTCCACTCTTCTCGCCGCTTTTTGAAAGTATCTCTGGGCAGAGGGATCTGGGATTCATCAGCATTTCCCCCCACCTCCCACGAACGCGCGGCAACCAAAGCACATGGTCCCTGGCGGCGCGTTTGCAAACCCCACCATTGCCAACGCCCAGAAACCGCCAAACTTCCTGTCTCCACAGCACCAAAGCGACCGAAGCGCCGCCGCGCCAAGTGCCCGAGGGACTCCAGCGGAGGCTGCAGGCAGCCAGGGAGCGGCGGGGCGGGGTTTCCTGCCGGCAGGAGCGCCCGGGACCCGCACCTCCACTGGGGGTCTCCAACCGCGCGCGCTGCGCCTGGGGCGCACGGGAAGCGGCGCCTTGGTGGCGCGTCGCACGGTCGTCCCCCTCCGTGCGCTCCGGGAACCCGGGGCAGTCATCCACCTACCTGCTCTCCCGCTTCCAGCCTCGGGCGCTCGGCGGACTGTCGACCGCTACTTTATTGTCTCGGCTGCTCACCGCGCAGGACCTGGGGACCCGGCTCTGCGCCAGCTCCGCAACTCCGCTCTACGTAGCGCCTACCCGGGCGGCTGCTTTCTTCCTTCTCCTCTCTGCCCAAGCTCCTGCTCAGCACATTAGCCGCGCAGCCAGACTCCCGGACTCGCAGGGCAGCCAGCGCCTGCCGCATCCCCCGACCCGGGGCAGTTAGTCGCCCCCGCCGCCGCTCGCCGCGCGTCCTCGCTTTGATCCACACTTAAAGCTGCGCTCCGGGCCGCCTTCCTCGCGTCCTGTAGTCCTTCCGTCCTGCCAGCCTCCTCCTCGCTGTCAGCCCGGGCTCTGGGCTCCTCTCTCCCCAGCTGCCCCCTCCCGCCGCCTCTCCGGGGGCTGGGGCGGCTGCTGCCAATGAGACACGGCTGAGGCGCTGTTCCGGCCCAGTCATTGTATCGGGAGGGGAAGAAGGGGAGGGGGAAGCGAGAGAAGGGAGGGGGCGCCCTCGGCCCCCGCCGCGCGGCTGTGGGCTGGGCTCGTCTTCCCGACAGAGAAAAGGCGCTGGTGCCAAGGGGCGCGGAGCGGTTGGCGCTGCCAGGAGTGGGGAAAAGGGAGGGGGTCGCCAGCCCGCGTCTATCTTCTCTCCCTCCGACTCTAAAGCGCTGGGAGGGACTTGATTCCGCTTCCCAGGTTTCAAGCATCCCGACTCGACTGCCCTTAGAATAAAGGGAATGAAACACTGGCCGCTGCAGGAGGCGCGGAATCTAGCCAAGGATGGGACTGGGTCCGACTAGTGACTTAATTTGAGATGCCAGCAAACTGGTGTTTCGGCTCTTGAAAGAAAGAAATAGAAGGAAAGAAGGAAGGGAGTGTACAGAGAAAGAGAAAAGAAAGAAGAGAGAGAGGATGACACAGAGAGGCAGAGACAGATAAAGAAGAGGGGTGAAAGCGAAAGCCTCCCCAATGCCAGGCAGAACAGTTCTGTGATTCAGAAGTGTTTTATTGTGCTTTCTTTACAGAGAAGAAAGGAGAGAGAGGGGTTAATTCCAAATCGCTAGTAGGTGGCAGGACAGGGGTTCCAACTTGATCTGATGCTGAGTGTAGGATAGCAAAGAAGAGAAGAGGAAGAAGGGAGGACCATTGGTGAAGGCTCTGTTGAGGTTTTCCTATTGTCTTCAAATGAGTTGGCAAGTAGAGCCCCGGAGTACACGGACAGGGCTGAGAGAAAATATTTTCCAAACAGCTTTAAATGTGTGTCCCAGTTCCACACCCACTACTCTATACAATATGAATGAATTCATTCTTAAAACTCAGTCCACTTTGAAGAATATTTTGTGACTATTACACAATTATACAGCTCTATATTTTGCTGAATGTTTTGGTTGAATCATCCAGTGTCAATATTTGAAAGAGACTATTGCTTCTGTTACCCTGGTATTGGCATTTCTCCTCCTCCTCCTCTTCCTTTTCTTCTCCCACTTCTCCTCCTTATTCTAACCACCAGCCTACAAAAAAATAAAAGATGGTAAAGAGGGAGAGAGGGGCTGTTTTGATTTCCCAGGTCCTGGCATAGCTGCTACTGACATGAAATGAAAAGCAAAATCAGTAAAAGCTTGAGATGGAGTGATGTATAATATTGTATCTGTACAGTGTGAGGTTTAATTAAATTTTCTTCAGGTGTCAGAACAGATTGCTTGCTTTTAATTAAATAGAAGATATTAAATGAATAGCTAACATTTATTGAGAGCCTATTACATGACCCCTGACCTAAGCTAAGGAAGCACTTTATTTGGTATCATGTCATTTCATTCTCCTGAGAGAAAGGGGTTGACCCGGAAGCCTCTTGAGGCCAGGGTTTGTGTTTGCCTAGTTCAGTCCTTAGCACATGGCAACAGACCATTCTCTGTCAGCTGAGTGAAAAGATCTCCATTTTGCAGAGGAGGAACCTGAGGCTCAGGGAAGTTTACTGCTCCACCCAAGAATATGAAACTAGAAAGAGGTCATGCCTACATTTAAACTTGGGTCTGAAGACTCCTTAATCACCATGCAATACTGTCTATTCAAGGAGAACAGCAACAAAGGACCACAGGTAAGAGGGCAATGCAGAGATCAATGCTTGCTTCATCCTCATAAATGAAGGCATAATTTCTTTGGAGAGGAAGCTGGTGCATGTGAAACAGTCATTAGAGAACCACACAGAAAGTGGAGGGCAAAGCAGAGCCATGCAATGCAGGGGAGATGAATAGGATAAGGCCGAGCACCTAAGAAGTTGCTCGGTGCATATTTGGGGGAAAAAACTGGATACAGACTTGAATGTGAAAAATGCAACATCAAATATGTCAGTAAGGTTGGTCTGGGTCAGAGCAGTCCAGGAGAATTTTCTGGAAGATGTGGGATGCTTTCTGGGTTTTCTTGGTGCAAAGAGGCTCTGGGCTTGGCAGTGGGAGCTCCAGGGCTCTTCTTTCTGGGTTGAAAGCCCAGCTTTTCTAAATATTCAACCTAAAATAGGGATAATCATAATGCTGACTTTGTAAGTTGTTGTCAGGACTGAATTAGTCAATATACAGAAAGCACTTTAAAATGTTAATTTATTTATTTTTGACTGCACTGGGTCTTAGCTGTTGCATGGGGACACTTTTTGGAGTTGTGGCAGGCGGGAGCTGCTCTTCACTGTGGTTCATGGGCTTCTCACTGTAGCGGCTCCTCCTCTTATGAAGCGCGGGCTCTAGGCTTGCAGGCTTCAGCAGTTGCGGCACACAGGCCTCGTTACTCTGTGGAACGTAGAATCCTCCTGGACCAGGAATCAAACCAGTGTCCCCTGCATTTACAGGCAGATTCTTAACCACTGGACCAAAGAAGGCCTAAAAAGCAGTTTTAGTAGTGCCAAATTATGGTAAGGGCTTCCCTGCTGGTTCAATAGTAAAGAATCGCCAGCACTGCAGGAGACTCAGGAGAAGCAGGTTCAATCCCTGGGTCAGGAAGATCCTCTGGAGAAGGAAATCACAGTTCACTCCAGTATTCTTGCCTCAGGACTATCCTGGTGGCTCAGAAGGTAAAGAATCCTTCTGCAATGTGGGAGACCTGGGTTCGATCCCTGGGTTGGGAAGATCCCCTGGAGGAGGGCATGGCAACCTACTCTACTATTCTTGCCTGGAGAATCCCCATTGGCAGAGGAGCCTGGAGGGCTATAGTCCATGGGGTCGCAAGAATTGGACATGATTTAGCAACTAAACTACCATCACCACCCCATGGTAAATGCTTAATAAATATTAGCTCATATTATTACAGTGGATATTATTATAATAAAGTAGAGCCAAAAATAAAATTTTAAAGTGCTTTCTGTATATTAACTAATTCAGTCCTGACAACTTACATATTATTAAAGAAAGTATTAAAGTGACTTTCTTTCCAACTTAGTCTTCTGATACACCAGTATTTATAAAATACCAGGAGCCTGGTGGGCTACAGTTGATGGGATCGCAAAGAGCTGGACGCTACTGAGTGACTAACACTTTCATTTTCATGAAAGTGTTATTTATTATTTATTTCATAAATAAAAGACACAATACAATAGAACAAAGAAATAATTTTAAATTTATTCTTACCCTAGTACAGAAATATCAACTTGGGCTGCAAATTAGAGGGGATGGTTTTGTTTTTGTTTTTAATACTCAATACAATCACAGTAGACTATCTGAAAGTGGAGTTAGGCTCCATAGGTGCAATTAGTTACAGTCACAGTTGAGAACTACTGTGAAGTTGGTATGCCTAGGAACTCCCTATAGAGCTTGATCAAACCTAGACTTCTGGACCTCAGCTCCAAAAGGCTCATGGAGGGACTTACCTGGTAGTCTAGTGCTTAAGAATCTGCCTAGTAATGCAAGGGCATAGGTTAAATCCCTGGTTGGGGAATTAATATCCCACATGCCAAGGGGCAACTAAGCCTGTGTACCACACTACTGAGCCTGTTCTACAGTCTGTGAGACGCAGCTACTGAAGTCCTAATGCTTAAGCCCACACTCTGCCACAGTGAGAAGCCCCTACATCCCAACAATGAGTAGCCTCCACTTGCTGCAACTACAAAAAGCCTGTGCACCAATGAAGACCCAGCGCAGCCAAAAATAAATAAATATATCTTTTTTTTTTTTTTAAAGAAGACTCGTGGACCGGAAATTTTTATTTTTAACAAGGTTTTTTGTTATTCTCATTGAATGAGAAACACTGTTTTGCCCTTCCCCTACACCATTTGTCTCCCACTCAGCGTCACAGGTTTACAGATATTTTTCCACCCTAATTTAACAAATTTTTGTTATGAATCCAGCTCTCTGTTTGAATATATTTAATTAAATGAACATTTATACTAATTTCACATAAATCACTGGAACTGGGGTATAAAGATGAATAAAACCCTTTTCTCTAGCAAGGAATTTAACAATTTGGAAGAAAAGATGCAAACGTGAATAGCTGTACTAATAAGGCTTCGGTGTTTTGAATGCTTACCATGAGCAAGGCCCTGGTAAGGTGAAAAGTGATATACATAAAAGAGAAATTGAAAGGCTGCATTAGAGTGAGAAAAACCAGAAATGGGTTCTTGAAGAAGGGAGCACTTCCAAGCTGCTTTCCTGAGAGAAACTGTTCCAGTTATGTGAGAGTATGTTCGGTGACTGAACAGAAAAGCAGAGACGCCCCAGAGACTGTAAGTGTGAAGAATCAACCAGAGAACTTCTCAAAAGTGACAAACTCAAGGTCCCAGTAAGTAACAAAGCAGTGAACGAGACAGGTGTGAAGCGCTGGGGAATGGTGAGACTGTGGCAAACTAGAGAACGCATTCTCCCCTTCTAAAGGACGCAGCCACTGTCATTCCGAGCACACTGCTGCCACGTGAGAATGTTGGTCTCACTGATCAGGTGTTTTGATTTTTCAACCAAAGCTGGAGATTTGGATTTTGACATGAAATCTCCCAGTGTTTAAAAATTCTTGACACCAACCAAGAATTTCAAAATATTCTATACATAAAATGAAAGATGTCTTCAGGCTAAATCCATTTATGGACCACCCACTTATGATCTATATTGTGGGTTTGGCTGGAAGAAACATACCCAGAGAAAAAACAAATAACAACTCCTACACTTTTGGGATGACTCAGTTCAGTTCAGTCGCTCAGTCATGTCGGACTCTCTGAGACCCCATGAACTGCAGCATGCCAGGCCTCCCTGTCCA